TGCAAGTGAGCCAGGTGACCTTTCTACATGGAACCATGCCACTCTAACCTATCTTCTGTCTTCTCCCTTTGACTGTTAGAAGGAGACTTGTGGCCTCCCAGTATACTAACTCATTGCCTCACCTGGAACTATTTTTACTGTATTTTTTCCATTTGGTCTTTAGAACAGTGAAGTAATTTCGAAAGTTGTTAGCATATAGGCTAAATATTCCAGGATTGTCATGGTTGGTGATTGCTGAAATATTGACGGGAAAATGTTAAAGCCGGATTTTGCTGGTCACCTGAACAGAATTATCCCTGGATACATTTTGGTACCTTGCTTGGGGGTAGTATGTTCAAGTGTAGACGTGCAAAGCACTGAATATGCTCTAGTTTTATGTGTAGTGGCTGATGTCACATAGAACTTTGCTTTTCCCCACCCCCCCTCCCCCCAGCAGCTTCCACTGTGTATACTGGTGTAATTACAAGTGAAGCAAGCCTGATACCTCTGTTAAATCTTTCTGAGTCTTTGTTTGTTGTGACAAGTTATGTACCCTTTAAAAATGGTATTTCTGAAACCTGAGAGTCAAAAGATACTTTGCTGCACAGCAAAAGATAAGTAGACAGCTTAAAGAAACTGAACCTTACTGACAGAAGCCTTACCTTTTGACCACAGCATTCATGCTGTGGAACATTTGGGAAAGAAGACAGAGAGCAGAATACTGTTGTGACCATGCATATCGGATCTAGCTTGCTGGTACATGGTATTCCCCAAAGGATTATTCCATGTAGCAGAAGGATCCCTATTACAGTAACACTATATTCTACTCATCTGAGCTCAGGTTCTCTATTTACCATTCTACCATCATTACTACTAATGCATCCTTCTGCTTGTTTGGAATCAGAATTAAGATGTGCAATAACTCATGGCAGAAGTGGAATTTAAGATGTATTTTTAAAAAATATATGTTTGTGGTTAGCTGCTCCATCTTACACTCTTATTTTTCTCCTGTTTGTTTAGGGTTTGAATGCAGTGTTTGATGCACTGGTGATTAACAAGCTAAATGTTTTGGAACTTATTCAAAAGTTACTACATAAGGACAAGTCATTGGAGGTGAGTCCTCAGAGGTCTTGTTCATTCTGGCCATTGAGAGAGTCATGTACAAAAGCAACAGGAGTCGTAACAGGATAGCATTAGAATTGCATTGGGTAGTGACACCCATTCCACACTTCTCTCAATAGTGTGTTAAAAATATGATGTGGAAGAGCTAACTGCTTGATGCAACAAGTTTCCTAGGGTCAGTAGGCATACGCCTGAAATCATTGTTTAACACAGTTTGGTAAGAGTAAGGAGAGAGAGATTTATTCAGATTCTCAAATGAGTGAGCTAGACATTTGAAAAAGTACATTAAAAAAATATCATGTCTACTTTGCCAATCCCACTAAAGTATTACACTTTTTTTTTCAGAATACAAATTACCAAACAGGAGACAGTTCCTAGTAGCTTGGGAGTTTAAAAGAAAAAATAAATAAGCACTGACAGTCGCTAAGGATCAATTTTCTGACTTTTGTTGATACCACTTTATCTAGTATTGGCTCAAGTGGAATCTGGCACCTAGTATTTGCTCTAGCAAGCAAATCACAGAAACGGTCAGCCTCAGGTGAATGATTGAGAGCAGCCAAACAGACTACTCAAACATCACTACTGTTCAACAGCTAAATCGTTTGCCTCTCCCATCCAAGTTTCAGCAAGGCAAAGGAATATTCATTGTACATTGCATCAATCAGTGGTTTCACTGCAGAGAAGTCTCGCTTATGTTTCTGAGTAGCACAAGTCCTATGGGGCTTTTAAATTCCTTTGCAAAGAGTGAAGTGAGGCACTTCAGGGGGAAATCAGTGAAAGTGGAATCTCTAGAACTGAAACAGTAGATTTGACCAAAAATGGCTAAGAGGGAGTACAGGAGTATTTCAGGCAGCAAATAGGAATGCTGGAGAAGTTTGCTCTATAATGAGCGTAATGTCAACTAGCATATGACAAGGAAAGAGTTTAGAGCTGCAGGGGACTAAAGCAGAGCCAGTTCAGAATTAAAGTGATGGAAATAAAAGGTAATAAGAAGGACCCTGGGAAAAAGTGGCCAGTCAGCCTCACATCAGCACCTGGTAAGATCATGGAACAGATTCTCCTGGAAGTTATGTCAAAACATATGAAAGACAGGGAGGTGATTAGAGACAGCCAACATGGCTTCACCAATGGCAGATCGTGCCTGACTAATCTAGTGGCCTTCTATAATGGAGTGACTACATCAGTGTACAAGAGAAGAGCTGCTGATTTCTGTAAGGCCTTTGAAATGGGCCCCCACAACTTTTTGGGGGCTAAAATGGAGAGATATGGGTTTGACTGATGGACTGTTAGATGGATAAGGAATTGACTGGTTGCCCATATCCAAAGTAGTACAGTCAATGGCTCAATGTCCAAGTGGAAACCGTAATGAGTGGTGTCCTCAAGGGTCCATAGTCAGACCAATACTATTTAATATCTTCATCAGTGACGTAGACAGCGGGATTGAGTGCACCCTCAGCAAGTTTGCAGACGACACCAGGCTGTGTGGTGCAGTTAAGGGAAGGGATGCCATCCACAGGGACTGTGGCAAGCTTGAGAAATAGTCCCATGAGAACCTCATGAACTTCTGGCAAGGTCCTGCGCCTTTGTCAGGGCAATCTCCAATATCAGTGCAGACTGGGGGCTGAAGGGATTGAGAGCAGCCCTGCCGAGAAGGACTTGGGGCACTGGTGGATGAAAAACTGGACATGAGTCAGCAATGCACACTCATAGCCCAGAAGGCCAGCTATATCCTGGGCTGCATCCAAACCAACATGGCCAGCAGGTTGAGGGAGGGGATTCTGCCCCTTTACTCAGCTCTGCTGAGAACTCCACCTGGAGTTCTGCATCCAGCTCTGGGGCCCTCAGCACAGGAAGGACATGGACCTGTTGGAGTCCATGGAGGAGGGCCACAAAAATGCTCAGAGGGATGGAACACCTCTCCTATGAGGACAGGCTGAGAGAGTTGGGGTTCAGCCTGGAAAAGAGAAGGCTCTGGGGAAACCTTATTGCGGCCTGCCAGTACTTAAAGGGGGCTTATAAAAAAGATGAGGACAGACTTTTTAGCAGGACGTGTTGCAATAGGACAAGGGGTAATGGTTTTAAACTACAAGAAGGAAGATTTAGACTAGATATAAGGAAGAAATTTTTCCCAATGAGGGTGATGAAACACTGGCACAGGTTGCCCAGAGAGGTATTAGATGCCCCATCCCTGGCGACATTCAACATCAGGTTGGACGGGGCTCTGGAGCAACCTCATCCAATTGAAGATGACCATTGCAGGGAGGTTGGACTAGATGACCTTAAAAGGTCCCTTTCAACCTAAAGATTCTATGATTCTTTATCAGACTAAGGGAGGAAGGTAGGAATAAAGGTAATACTGGAGATCACATGACAGTATTTTTTTAGGATCCAGTCAACTCTTCCATGTAAAAATCCATAGTTTACTGACATGTTCATCTTCAGTTGTGTAGAATGGAAAAAGAAGGGGCCCAAATGATCTTGCATCTCAGAGAAACTCTCATCTTCCATCTTCTGCTTCTCTAATGAGTGGTTGAGGCTGCATGGAATAATTTCAGCCATCAGGTTTCAGAGAGCTCTTAGGGCAGCCCTACAGCCCTGTAATATAGAGGGTCAGAGAGAAGCTATGTCCTTCATTTCCTGAGTTACCATTTGCTAGCTGGGTAGGGTGTTGGAAGCTTGGATTTGCATCTCAAAGCTGTGACAGGGATATGGTTATAGTTACTGATGATTCTGTTTCAAGTCTCTACTGGTGAAGCTTGAAGAACCTATACAGTGTACAGTGTTTTCATTTATGAAATTGATGTGTGCTTGGAGAAAATGTATTATACTTCACAGAAAAAAAAATGGAAAAGTCTGTGACATCACTTCTCTATGTTTTGGGTGAATTGCCTTCTTTAGACCCCAAAGTGTATATTATAAAATATGTGATGTAAATCAACTGAGTTAATGTAGGTAAAACACGATTTTTTGTAGATCTTAGGTAGTTTTAGCTTGACCGTAGTGATTTGGGTCCCTGTTTGTCATTAGCTTTTTAATCACATTAGTGATTCTTAAAATTAGTTTCTAACTATGCAGTTTTCTTGTTGTATGCATGTAATTTTACCTCTAAAGAGACCTAAGTAGACAAAAACTTTCCATGATAAGCAGTCAACTGGATATAGCTATTTAAAACAAAGTTCAAGAAGTAACCATCCTCCATTTTAAAAAGAAAAGAGAGATAAATTTAATATGCCGTATACTAAAGGCTATATGTTCTACTCAAATTCCCTATCAGAAATTGCTGTGTAAAATTACATCAGCTATGGAGTTAATGAGGATTTGTAGAAGAGACTTACTGAATAAAAAAGTTTTCTGTTTGAGAAGGAAATTAAAATGTTTGCAGAAAATATTTTGCAACTAGTGAATGAAAGCCTAGTCATGTTTGAGAGCTTTCTAGTAACTGCAAAAATAACAATATTGTCAACTGTAATAGGAAAAATGCACAGGAATAGCCTCTTCTTTCTGAGATGGTGGCGGAAAGGGTGTGAATGCAATGGGGAAGAGAAGAAAAATAACATTTTTTACATGAGGAGTTTGTTTCTTTCCTGTAGAATGCTGGGCTGTTACGAAAGGGGCTGCTTTTCAGGATAACTCTTCTGATGTCTGGAGGGGTCAGTATACTTTATATACGCTGGAGGATTATGGGCACAGGGCCACCGGCTTTCACTGAAGTAGACAACCCAGCTTCATTTGCAGACAGTCTGTTTGTGAGAGTAAGTTATGAAGTTGCTTTTTTCTGGCCAGCTCAGAACATTTGTCTTTGTCATCAAATTGAATTTTCTTTTCTGTGCTTCAAAGAAACAATAAAGTGGGCAGTCTTTATGTTTCAAGATGTGTGATGAGTCACCTTCACTTGTACTGCTGTGATGATTTTCTGCAATTTTTTAAAATAGTATACCTTGTATATTCTTTGCATTCCATTTAGCACGTACCACACGCATTGAAGTACATTTCCATTTGCTCACTATTTTTCCCATGCATGCAAGGATTTAGCTTTTGTTGGGTTTCATCCCTTTTCTACATACTGTGCTTGACACAATTGAAGAAAATAGCATAAGGTTCTGGTCTGGTGCCTTTGGAGTATGTCTCTGCTTTATATCTCTAACTGCATTAAGGCTCTTTCTGGAGATGGAAAATGAAGGGTGAAGACAGTGGGTGCTGTCTTTTGACATTTTCTCCTATTGCAGAAGATTATTGTTTTTACATGTGAGTATTAGTTAGACAGCACAGAATTGCATTTCCCTGCTCTGAATAGGACACCTAGCTATGTTTTAAAAAAATTAAAAACTAATTTCATAGTTGTAAAATAAATGGGTATGTAACTAGTCGTATTCTAACAGTATTTAAGGCCTCTTTATTGTTATATTTTGTGATAAGGGAAATGATAGCAAACCTGAAGTTCCCCCCGCCTTAAATATAGTATCAAATAAATGTTTGTTTTCTTTTTGACTGACAGGCTATAAACTATAATTACTACTATTCGTTGAACGCATGGTTGCTGTTGTGTCCCTGGTGGCTCTGTTTTGATTGGTCAATGGGCTGCATACCCCTCATTAAATCCGTTGGCGACTGGAGGATAATAGCACTAGCAGCACTTTGGTTCTGCCTAATTGGTCTGATATGCCAAGCTCTGTGCTCAGAAGACAGCCATAAGAGAAGGTAAGAGACAGTGATGAATTTTAAATGCCTGGCCAACTTGAGTACAGTATTATTTTGTTAAATCCACTACTGATAATTTTAACAATTCAGTGGAACAAGTGTCTAGCAAATGCAGTTCAAATAAATATTTATAGCTGTCATTACAGTTTTATCCCAATTTGGGCCCATCACTGTATACTGACTAGTGGGGAACAGAGTTGGAGGAGGAGATATGGATGGCTGCTTTATTTTTCCCCTGAAATGGCATTCTGAGGTCCTTAACACTGTAGGTGGTAAAAAGTAATATGTGCTCAGAACAGAGTAGGAAATGATGTATGTTGTTGCCACTACTTCTTACAAGTCATCATCTCCTTTAATCTTCTCCTAATAATGAAAGAGAGAGGAGATATGCCTAGGAAGAAGATAGAAATGCTGGCCATGGCCATACGATTAAAAAGTAAAATGCTGACCCATAGTATCTACTGAGGAAACAACTTGTACTTTACCCAAAGGAACTAAAAAATTTATTGTAAACTATTCTGTCTCACTAAGGGCTTCTGTTTAACTTTACAGGTTCTGTTCCCATGGATTTTATGTATAATTAATTTCTCAGTTCTTTAAAATTTTTCAACAGCTCAATCACAGCGAGGTCATTCTGTTGTTCAGAGTGCTGAATATTTTCTTTTTCTTTTCTGTGGTATTCTGTAATTTCATCTCTTCCCCCTCGTCCCCTCAAATGTTAACATCCCACCTGCCTTCCTTTCTGCTGTTACCATACTCTTTTGTACAGATAAAATCATTTTGAAGGGGGGTGGAATTCTTGCTACAAGTGATGTCATACTTTCTAATAAAAACACACTCACTAAGCCTATATTGCTGAACAGTTTTTGAGTAAAAAGTATAATGAAGGCCTAGGACTCTCAGGGATGAGAAAAGAGTAAGAGGACACATCTACATTACAGTATGAAGATTTATTTGTAAGAAATCAGAAAAATACCATGCCTGTAGCCTTTATAACAAACATGTGACACAGACCTGGGGTTCTTTATTCCCTCATGTCAGGTCTGTAAAAGGTACCAAGTCTCAGTTGTCTAAGCTCTGTATAGTCCATAAGGAGTTACCTGCTGAGGATTACTCATCCTAGCATAGGTACCTAAAACAAGGAAGACAAACTGCCCTCGGGAAGTGCCCCTCTCTTCTGACTATAGAAAGAGCATAGATTACTGACTTTCAAGTGGTTAACCACAATGGATTCTACTATTGTTATATTTGTTAGGAAAGAAAACAAAACACTCTCAGTAGGATGTGTACATAAGTTTCTTCTTTAACAGTGACCTATATTTTTCCCCTGTTACTGTTTTACTAGTTCCAAAAATAGACAGGTAGCTTTTACCATTACTTTTCCTGCCTGTGTACTTTAAATAGGAATTATGTAATTAATGTGTAATGGGGCTATTTTCTAGCCTGGAAGCATGAACATTACTTTTCTGGAAATTATAGCTAGGATTTTAAAAGTGCCCGATGGAATGAAGTGTCAAAACCTCACTGAAATTTACTATGATTTTGTTAGTAGCTCTCAAAGGCTGCTTTTGAATGCCCTGTTCCATATGCACATCCTTCTACAACGTTTAAATAAAGTTTATGTGTTAAGTGGAAAAGGTAGTTTTGTTAAGATTTGTGGTTAATTTGAGAATCTGTTTCTTGTTTGCAGAATTCTTACACTGGGACTTGGATTTCTTATTATCCCTTTTCTTCCTGCAAGTAATCTGTTCTTCCGAGTAGGATTTGTTATTGCAGAGAGAGTCATCTACCTCCCCAGTATTGGATATTGTATTCTGTTTACATATGGATTTAGTCTCTTGAGTAAGCAAGCCAAGAAAAAGGTACCATCAAAACAATCAGTAGAGTTGATGATGAAGATGATGACAAAGTGCTTCAATTGAATGGTTTGTTTCTTAACTTGTCTCTCTTTCCTTAAGAAAATTCTTGCTGTGGCAGTACTTGGAATCTTACTGACAAATGTTATGCGCTGTGCACTCCGCAGCAGTCAGTGGAGGTCAGAAGAACAGCTTTTTAGGAGTGCACTGTCTGTGTGCCCTCTGAATGCAAAAGTAAGTAAAGTAAGTCACTCATGTGGACTTTTAATTTTTTTTTTTTTAAGTGTTTTGAAATTTGGGATAGAGAAGGTGTTAAGCATAGTTAATATATATTGTGGTACAGTCTTATTCACAGTCTTCCTTGGTGCAAGAATATGACATTGACATATCAGACACCTAAATTACAGTGGTAGCATAGTCAAAGTACCAGACAGTATTGTAATTCAGAATCTGGGAGTGGGAGTGGGGAGGGGAGGGAGAAGGGGCAATACACTTCAGGAAGGGCATCCAGTCAAATTGGATGTACTGCTAATAAAATCTACTAAAACAATTGTGTGTATAATTGCAAGTTATTACAACAAAATATCGAAAAGAAAGCAAGTTGTAGCAATGTATTCACCTGAATAATGCCTTTGCTATGTTTTTAGAATTCTTTTTGTGTACCTTCCAGTGGTATATATAGCCAACACAGCTAAGGGACAAAGCAGCATATCATCAGTGTAACTGCAGGATGTGGAGGTAAAATCTTTGCTCCCACTTCTGCTCTTTTACAGTGGCTGAATGGGCTAGAGTCTTCAGACATGGACACTGAGGAAAACTGCAATATTCCCTGCAAGGCTTAGTGAGGGAACAAGTAAGAGAGTGGGACTGGTTAGGATGTTTCACGGAGCTGAACACCAGTGTTTGGCATAGTAGATTGAATTTATCCTGCCAATAGTGGTGACCTCCACAGCAAGTCATTTGATAGCTGAGAGTGTGATCCGTTGGAGCATACCACAGAGCCCTGATCTCTGAATTTTAGCAGAGACTCTTCTTCGAAGAGCCTAGGAATAGGAGTGCGCAGCTTGTCAATAAAAATACATTGATGTTTTAAAATATTAGATTTCTGTAATCTAGAGTGTTATCTAGACAATACAGATCAAGACACAGAGTTTAAAAAGGAACCTGTGAATGTTCGACTTTGCAAAAAGAATTATAGACTTAGCATCTACTGGAATACAAATATGCAGCAGTGAGCTCTAAAAAACATGTATGGCCAATATTTACAACATGGTGGTGTCTTTCAATAATTTCAGATCTCAATAATCTCAGATTTCAATACATAGAAAAAGATCTGTTGTATTTTATTGTGTGGCAGTGGTAGGCAACCATCTTCTTTTTAATGATGACCTCAGTATATCTTTTCTTCTGGGTGATAAGCGCATACTATAAATGGAGCAAATGCAAAACACAGTTTCTTTGTATGTAACTCCATCCATCTGCCATGATAAGAGTGCTTTAGACAGATCCACACTCTTTGCCTGTGTTCCAAGCTCCTTGGACACAAGCCATGTCTGGCTGGGAAGCTGTGTAGCTGTGTTCGCACAGTGCTGTGCTTGAGCTGATAAGCTGTGTGCAAGCTAGTGAACTAATACCTCTGGTTCACAGCCAGTGAGTGTACAGAGAAAATGAGCTTGTGTTTGTCAACACTGGTCTGTGTAGGCATGCCTGAGCTGTGTTGCTGCTAGTGACAGCTTGTGCAAACGGAAAGCGTGGTGATGTGAACAGGAAGGGGTTTGTAGGCTCACATTCCAATTTTGCTGAAGGAGTAACTTTGAAATCATAGTAGTAGGGATCTTTTCTAGGCAACAGCATTAGAAAGTCCATGTGTGAGAGCCAGTCCTCTTTTCTTTATGGACTTAGCTATATTTATTCAATTTTGACAAAGGTAAATGTAAAAATTGGAACTAGGTTCTATTCTGATCTTCTGTTTTTGTCTTGAAAGTGCAGACTTCCTTTAAAAATGACTCCACAGGACTTTCAGTGGCCCATTTATTTCAGTGGGAGGCTGATGGAGACCAAAAGATGGAATGCAGATAATAGCTTTTTCTTGGTTTTCTTGGAACATCTTTAATTTGTGTAACGTGGTCATGCTTTACTTCCCATATGTAGCAGGGTCCCAGAATCTCCAGGTGTCTCCAAACAAGTAACAAAAAGTGCAGCTCCTAGTCATGTTTTTAGTACACCACCTTTCAATTCCCAGTTGTCTGTATGTGAGCAGTATAGAGTAAACTTACCTTAATTTTAAGTAACAAGTACTTAATTCTAAGTAACAGCAGTGCCTTCTCTAATTTCAAGACTCATCTTCTGTAGACATCTCTTTAGATAGAGGTGTGGAAACTGCATTAAATCACATTGTCTGGCACAGTAGTGGATCTACCCCCTTGAGTGATGGATGCATCTGACTCAAGAGGATAAAATTTAGCATCAGCTTTGGTAAATGTGGCCCAGTGATTTTAAAATTTCTTGGAAATAATCAGGTACCATAATGAAGTTACAAAGATTTTGACTTTTAAAATTTTGTATTGTGAACTTGGAAAAAAGTTTTAAATATTTAACATTTTATTTTAAATGTTGTTTATTTTAAATTTTTAAAATATATATGGGGTTTTTAATATATATATATATATATGCTTGTTTGTCTTTTAAAAAGAGTGAAAAAAGAAGCAGCTTACAGATCTTGGTTAAACATGTCCAGGAGTATGTCACACGTTTGAACTTGCATGGTCCTGCACTTAAGTTAGTTTCATAGGTTGTTAGTCTGAAACAGTATACATCTTGAAAATATTTAGCAGTATTTTTCTTAGCTCAACAGAAGGTGCCTGTATATTGATTTCATTTCCTTTTACCACCGTTTTTCATACGGTATAGATTGACTTAATTCCTGGAGCTCAGTGGTGATACACATTAGTGTAAGTTAAATCCAGGCCTGTGTTGTTTCTACTAAAGCAAATTTTGTGAACAGTTATAAAGACTGTTTTCTTCTGATATGCTGATTATATATTACAGGTAATGTATGAATTTGGAATATTTCAGTGCTATGGGTTTAAAAGGCTCACTGGATCCAATCTGGCATCTTTTCATTTGGTGTTAATCCTGGAGTGCTTTGCTGAAGTACTGGAATATCTAATTACAGGCTATGATAAAAGTGTAACTACTGTTTCACTGTAGCAGACTACTGGCTTGGATTTATCTGAGCAAGTCAGCCAGGCTCCCTTTATAACTGGGGAGGAGAAGCTGTCCTTTGCAGTGCGTGGTTCATCCATCATCTTGGACTAAATTACTTACATAGGCCAGAAGCACTGCACCCTAGATCTGTGCATTTGTCTCCACTGATGATAAAAGAAGTTCTGACAACTAGAGCAGATGTGGATACATAAGGTTATGTGAGATTTTGTTCTTGCCCTAGTGCTGTCCGCTATTTCTAGACATTGCTGTACTGCTTCTCACCTTCAGAGATCACTACACATTGTTTCTTTTAATTTTAAAGACTATTTCCAAAAATGCTCATCTTACTGCCTTTTTTTGCCATGTGATAAGTTACTGTTGGAAGTGACAAATTACTTTTACTTGGCTTTTAGCAAAGACATGGCAGTTTTTAAGAATCCAGAGAGGTTTTTTATTTCTAGATGACTTTCTCTGATTGATTATCTAAATAAAATTTGCAATTGCATTGTTAAATACATGGGAAATAGCCACCACCATTTTTCTTTTTCTAGATTTGAAATAGCTGAATTGAAATGATGTAAATTGTTAATATTCTGTGTGTAATCTGTACCTTCTCTTTGCTACTGCCTTTTCTTTAAAGGATAGAAATTAATAAATATAATTTTTAAAAAGCCATTTCAGTAGCAACTTTTCTGCAATAATAAACAAGAAAGTTATGATACTCCCAACAGAATGTGTTACTAACCGGTCTGCCTTGACGACTAAGGGTAGTAACTTTGTATTTGATGCTTTATGCAAACTGTAATTGTTATAGATACAAGTTTGTCAAAATGTGCAACAGAGTTTGTGAGATTACTTTCTAGACTTTCTTAAAAGGCCTTGTAATACCTCTTTGTGACAGAACAAGATTTATTGCAGTTTAAGGATTTATGAAGCAGGTCTAGAGAGTATTTCCTATAGATATTGAGAATTCTTTTCTATGCTACATATTAAAAGGGGGTTATCTTCTGCAGAATTTACCTTAAGTGCTGTGGGCTGTGGTTATAGGGGCTGTCTGCAGTGTTTTGCCACACAGAGAACCATTTTAGATGTCAGGGGTTCTCGTATACAAGCACAGTCATGCAGAAGAACCTTTAGACAACATTAGCTGGACAAACAAAATGTGAAGATCAAAAAGGCTTTGTTTTATTATTTATTATTTAGAAAACAAAACTTCAGTAGTAGAAGAAAGAGAAGAATGTTTGATGAAAGAAGCTGGCATTGAACAGAAGCATCTGCATGTTTCTGTAGAAATTGTGACATCTGTGCTTTACTTCCATGCTTTTCAGCAAATATGAACATTTGCTGAAAAGGTGATTATAAGCAGCTGGGAAGAGAGAATAAAATAGTTGATAATAGCAGTGCTGCAACTGAGGGGGTGTACCGCCTAGAAGACGATATCACATTTAAATTTCTTCCTACAATGCTTTGAGAAAAAAAAATGGTTTGACAATAATTTTGGTTTTGTACAGGAGAATTTAAGTTTTTTTCTCTCTTCCTCATTTAAATGTGTGTGCACATTTAAACACTTAAGTAAGAGTTCAAGCACTGTGTGTGTTTAGCATAGAATAATATACAGTGCTTTTGCTTCTTTTTTAGTGGCTTCTTAGGCCAATTGAGGTATTGCGAACAAACAGAGCGCGCCAATTCTTCGGCTAGGCTATGGTGCTATGGTTGTGTTAACTTTAAACAACGCATGCCTGTTGAGATCAACTAGGTTCTATCCTAGGGTATTTTAACCTCGTTGCCATGATTTTGGAAAACACTGTGGTGTTATGCATCCCTGAGAAATGCTCCTTTTGGAGCTATTACTGTAAAGTAATTACCTGTTTAAGATTGATGAAGGAGCATGTGGGCATAATGTAATACGTCATTTCCAGTTGATATCTATCTTTAATCATTTCATAAAAAAATGCTATGTCTGCTCTTAAATATTTAATCAGGAAAGGAAAATCCTCTCTCCCAGGTTGTCACGCACAGTATCTGTCAAAGGCAGAAGAACCACGTCTCTAGAGATTAAATTTAAAACATCACACTGGCCCCTCATTTTTAAAGGCCAGATTCTTCCCACCCATAGGTATCTAGAAAGTACTTGTGTCCCCATGTTGTGCAGGTAGGGGTCACAGGAGAAGTCAAGGAGAGTTACAGCCTTGTGCTTAGCAGAGGGCAGACAGTTATTGTAGGCCTGGCTTGGGGGAGTAGAGCTAAAGCCTGATCTTGGCATCTCTCTCTCATGGCCAGTGAAGCCAGTGACAGGGCTGTATGGCAGAAGTCACCTGCACCTCTCAAATGACTGTGTGTGCCTGGAAACCCTTTGCTGACTCTGTTCTTAAGAGCAGGATGTTACTGCATATTATAATCCTTTGTAGAGCTGGTTTTGTCATTAGATATTTATGGTAGGCTATGGGGTTCTTTTGGTATCTTTGTTTTAGTTTTTCTTCTCTTTCTTCTCTGTCATCACCATATTAAGAGGAACAAAAGCTACAATTTCACTTGAAGAGAAATTAGGAAACCTACACACAACAAGGAACTCTTCATTTTCAGGAGTATTGTATAGAAACATCGTTTCCTTTCATACACAAGCTATACCTGAGGACAGAAGAAATATACCATCAAAAAAGCTAGTGGTTTATTTAAATAGTTTTGCTGTCAGTTTTAATAGACTATAGTACATCTCTTCAGTTGGCAAAACATACATGTACACTTAATATTTCATTTGTTGTTTTGACTTGAGAGAATTGATACCTCTCAGGTATCTGCAGTCTGCCCCATTCTGTTTACATGAGAAAAATATTTTTTCCACTGCTGCTTTTGAGACAGAAATGGATATGAAGAATTTCCATCTTTTTAAAAACTGAGAAAGATAGAATCAGAAAGTGCAACGCTCACTGTTTCCTAACACAAGGCGGCTGACGTTTGAAAGACTGAGTGATTGGTGTATACAAAGATTTTTCTCATATGCTCTGTTCCCAGTCTTTAATCAAATTTCTTCTTTCAGTAATGCTTATGACTTTTGTAAAATGTAAAAAAAAAAAAAAAAAAAGACGACTTTTGTAAAGCTTCTTAAAGAGAGAAATTGAATCAGATTAAGGTAATCTTGTTTGCTGATATTGAAATGTGAAGTTGGGTATTTTAAGGGCTAATATACATTACTGAGTGAAATCTTTCCTTATTTCTTCTGTTTTGCCACAGTTTATCTTTTATCTGGAAACACAGCAAAGTTTAATAACCTAATTTGCTCTGAATAAATTTTGAGTCTGTAAACTTCAGCATATATAATCAGGGCAATCCAGTTTGGTAAGAATGTTATCATAGTGTGCCGAGAAATTTCTGGAAGAGATATGCAAATAGAATTCAGTCCTAAGAAACATATTTCAGGGTGTATCATTTTACTTTAACGACTCCTGGAAAAACAATGCTATTCCATGGGGTTTTTTTGACGCTATCAACTGATCTTTATGAATGGCTATGTCTTGATATAAATGTACCATTGCGTTGCCCATTTGGCATGGGCTTTGTCATATTTTTGTGAATGCACAACAGAAGTGCCTGTTTGTTTCTTTTTCTTGGAAGCTATGCTGGAACTGCTTTTATGGGATGCTGAATTTTGTGTGCTATTTTATATCTTACAGCCTGAGGAGCTGCTTCTGTGTATGCTTAGTAAGCTTTATAGCATCGTTGCTGTCGGTAAAACCAGTGAAACTACTTTTTCACTCATTCTAGAAAGCATGGAAGATGTTCTTGACCTTATTTGTTGATGGTATTTTACTGCATAGTCACAGTCATATACAGATAGAATTCAACAATTAAATACCGTAACAATTAGGTTCAAATATAATTGTATGTCCTGGATCAATAGGTCCCAGGTATTGTGCCAAATAAAATTAGGATTCTTCCTTTGATGGACACATGAGATAAAATCCTTTTTTGAGTGTAGAAGGTAAATTAGAGTTACCAAAATACATTACAAACCTATGTTTTTGTACTGCAATCTGAAGTAATTCCTGCATAGTATTTTTGAAAATATTTAAATTAGATTTTCATAGTATGGAAGAAATTACAATGTGTGCTTGTTTTAGATGAACTATATACAAATTGATTTCAAATGGTAAGGTAATTTAAATAATGAGTTCTGATGTAGTTGCTGAGAAGTCTGTTTTCAGGAGTCAGTACTCACAGTACTTTTCTGTTATTTCTAAACTTGAGTTTTCCCTTTGACCAGGTAATGTAGTCTTCTGAGATTTTTCTTATAGTAGGATTTGAGATGTCTTCCAACTTAGATTTGTCCTGAAATACATTTGTTCCTATCTAGTCCTTGCCATAAGTTCAGATGATGCATCTTCTTCCCTGTAGCTGTATCTTAAAGCTCTAGATCCTTCCTTTATTCTCCACTTTTTAACAGACAAGGTCTCCACCACGTTGCCATACACATTATTTTTATTTCAGAAATGCTGTTTGATGCATTTTTATCCCAAGACAGTAACAGTGTGTGTATTTTTTATTTTTTGTTTGTTTAAAGTTGAATTTCTTCTACTTTATGCCATAGCGAAAGCAAAGTTTAATCAAGACTTACATTGCTGTAATGTTTCTTCTACTATGGTGAATTTGATTGAGTCAGACTTTCTCTTACTTATCTGACAAATAAATGAAATGAAGAGCAGGAGGTCTCAATATAGAAAGTCTTGTGGAAAGTGTGGTGATCTCATTTATAAAATCAGGAAGTGAATAATCTTTCTTAAATAGCTGGAACAGGTAAGCTGATTCATTAATTTATTCCTCAGATTTTGTCTTGCTGTCTTCATTGTATGTATTGTCCAATCTTAAGTACCCACCTACAACAAAAGCCAGCAGTGAATGATGTAAGTGCTGACTGTATCTGTTTGGAGTGAGAATTTTTAGCAACTTGGCTCCACAAAATATCTGACTGTATAGCATCTGGTAGAATGTTCCTCTGTGTTTTCAGGTGCATTACAATGTTGGCAAAAACCTGGCGGACAAAGGAAATCAAAGTGCTGCAATCAAATACTACAGAGAAGCTGTAAGGTATTAGGAATTTTACTGCTTTAATGAACTATCCTAGAATTGCCTTCATGTTTAACATTGATTTTCATGGTCTGCAGCATTGCAGAGCTAGCAATTTGTATAGAGTAATACATGTCCCATACATAATAATCATCTCTTAAATTTTAAATTTTAGGTTGAATCCTAAATATGTACATGCCATGAACAACCTTGGAAATATTCTGAAAGAAAGAAATGAGCTCCAAGAAGCAGAGGAGTTGCTGTCCTTAGCTGTACAAATACAGTACGTTTGGAGCAATGCTACGCAGTGTTTTGCACCAACTGAGCAGAAATGATACAATAGGATCTTGTGTTCCAAATGCTCAATTGTCCTCTCTCTTTTTGTTTGTTTCTTTGTTTGTTTTTTCCAATTTGCCCAGACCTGATTTTGCTGCTGCATGGATGAATCTAGGAATAGTACAGAACAGTTTAAGAAGGTTTGAAGAGGCAGAGCAAAGCTACTGGACAGCAATTAAACACAGGAAAAAATATCCAGATTGTTACTACAATTTAGGGCGGTTGGTAAGTGCTTTTTGGTAGAAGATAGCTTTGACAGTAACAGGGGGACGAGGGTGTACATATATAAAAAATTCTGCTGTACTGTTAAATGCTGATAGTTATTGCAGTTTGCTTGATTTGTAGTTCAGGGTGATTTCATATTTTTGGTAGCTTTTCCTATTGCTTTCCCAGTATACTTCCTTCCGTACAACCTTAGGTAGTCCTACTTTTTCATATAAAGAGGTATAAAGAAAAACATAGATTGTGGTCCTTTGTTCAAAATATATTGTTGATCACTTCCCAATATTAGACTGTTTTGCAGTCATTAGTATATTGTTAGCTAGTAGAATTATGCCCAAAAAAATCCGTTCAGAGTCTTAGAAATATGTATATTAAATATTGACTTATTCTTTTGTGTAGATTTCTAAATTGTATGCTGGTTTTCCTCCCTATCGCTATTCATATTTGAAAACACGCCTGCGTCAGAGAAAAGCAGAGTAAAATTAATATATAGCACTCTATCTTCCATATTACTCTAGTATTCTTTTCACATTTCTTTTTTTTTTGTCTATAAAAACAAGTTCTGCTAAAATGGAAGGAAACTAACAACTCTTCAGTGCATGATAGGAAAGTAAAGCAAATCAGGGTGAAATTACTGAGTTTTTCTTTCTGTTTAGTATGCAGATTTGAATCGCCATATAGATGCATTGAATGCATGGAGGAATGCTACAGTTCTTAAACCAGAGCATAGTTTGGCTTGGAACAATATGATTATATTGCTTGATAACACAGGTATAAGCCCATTCGAATGTTTAATGAATAATTCACTGTGTTGCAAAACTTAAAGCTTTATCTGTATTCACCTAAAAGGAGTTCTGCCTCTTCTTTGGCTACCCAGACACTCTCTATAAATAAAAGAATGCCTTCTGACTCAATGGTTTTGAAGCATCATTTGAAATCCAGCTCACAAATTGAGTTTCTGATCCTTATTTGAAATGCCATCATTGTGCAAGCATGTTTGTATTATAGACCAAACTTCAGAACTTTTGAATCTGTGCTTTGTTCTTCTGAAAGTGTTATCTGTTCCAAACAAAATGAAGGTTTTCTGTTGTCTTATTCTGCAGCATTTTACATTTGTGTGTGATACCTGGTTTTCTTTAAAAATGCTTGTAGTCAGCTATTCATACAGTATGTGTTCTTGCAGCATGAAAAGTAACTAATAAGGCTGTGTTAAAAGATGCTTTCTCTTTTTCCACTACATGTGTTCCCAGGCAATCTAGCTCAAGCAGAAGCAGTTGGAAGAGAGGCCCTGGAATTAATACCTAATGATCATTCCCTTATGTTTTCATTGGCAAATGTACTGGGGAAATCGCAAAAATATAAGGTAGGTAACTAGAGCTTTCTGATTGTTGGTTGTGTTTTGTTTTCACATTTCTTCCTGTTTAAATTCTGTATAAGTTTCTGTAAAAAAGTGTTTGAGGAGGTCGTTGTGGACTATGACTTAGATAATCAGGTTTCAGTGCCCATTTCTGTCACGGTATTGCTGTGTGATTCTGGCCTAAGTTCATTGCACCTTATTTTAGATGCTTGTGTTAGGAATGTTGCTGCCCTAAACTATGTCAGTGGTCACTGGAGAGAAACAGGCTCATAAGCACGCTAGAGGGCAGTTAGGGTCTTGTATTGCTTCACTGCCAACAGAGAGCCTGCTCTGATTTAGAGGCCTTGGTTCAGGAACTAAGTTAGATGTGATATGATAGTCCTTGTGCTTTTTGTATGTAAAAGAAGCAAGGTTTACCATTACCCCATATGAATTTTAGCCTTTTTGCCTCAGACGCTGTCTAAAATAGATTACAGATTTGCTAATCCCAGATTGAAGACTGGATACCTGTGTAATCCCAGAATATTATAAGGAAAAAAATCCATGCACTGAGCAGTGTATTGAATTTTCTCTTGGATGCAGTGGACCAGCCTGTGAGCGGTACCGCAGCATTAGCTACTTGTAAATATAAGTAGTAAATGTAATGGAATGATGAGAATGAGCTGTTTTCCAAAAGGAATTGTACGAGCTGACAGAGAATAAATCATACACAGTTAATATATTTAGTTGTTTGAATTCACTCCATAGTCACTGATTTATGTATGTGATAGGGACAAATTAATAATCAAGGAGGTTTTTTGTATTCCTCACAAAAACATCATTAACTGAACTATGTCTCTGGGGGGGGTTGATGGCTTTTTGATAGGGATAATGTTAGCAGCACTGAAGGAACATCCTCAGTATATGCAAAGTAAGAAGATTTTTTGACGTTAAACTTCTCAGAATAGATACATTTATCCACCAATTGCTGTGTCCACTTAAATTTCTACAGTCCTGTTTAGCTGTGGAGTCATGACCTGTCCACATGTGAAGCCAGGGCCTGTGACAACCCAGCACTTGCTTTTCTTTGTGTTAGTGATGCCATTAGACACTGACTCACGCCCCGTTCCTGTTTCTCTAGACTGGCTGGGATTTTTTCTGTATGCTCTCTTTCTTTTTTCTCTCCACCTGAGACTGTTATAAATTAGATATTTTAGGTTACTTTAACGAAGTTCCAGAAGGATGCAAATTAACATCCAGAATGTGTAAGGGGTGAGATTATGGAGGAGGTAATTGCTAGGATTATTATGGTGAGTCATGACTGTGAAAGGATAGAGGATTGTATAGTTACTCATCAAAAGTATGCAGCTTGGCAGAATAAAGAGCATTTATAATGGAATAAGCTGAAAAAATAGGTTGAAAACAAGCTAGAAAACTTTTCCGGATGTAGAATAAACAAGTCTGTCTTAGTGGATTTAAAAAATAAAAAAAGGATGTAGTGATGTTCATTGCCAGGTCTGAAAAGGCATTAATGCTGCAGGGAAATGTGTTGGAGACAAAGTAGAAATGGTAGTAGCGGAAAATGAAACATTCAAGTCCTAAATAAATATGAATAAAGGAAAAGGAGCATTGGAACTTAGGGAAGAAAGCAGGGAGCCAGTGAGTTTTAATAGTTCAATGTGGAATAGTAGGTTTGCGTAGAGGAAAAAAAAACTTAGCAACTTGAAATTGATGGGTTATAACAGGGAGAGAAAATTAAGGGAATTGGAAAGTGGACTCACTTAGAAAAGGTCATGATCTCAGCAGCTTTATTTTGCATCTCCTGGAAAGAGAAGATACAAGTTTTTTAAGTGGGAGAATGCTAAATGACAATAAAAAGCATGGAAAAATCAGCTTTCTTGTCTACCCTCTCACCATGTAAAAATAGAAGTGGATGGCTCTTTAAGGAATTTTATTGAGTGTTCGGGATGGGAAGGGAGGAGAGGGGGATGGAGACTGGCAAGGTGATGGACGTAATTTTGAGAGGGGTGCCTGGCTGTGTCTGATGTGTTGTATAACCTCAGGCATTTCATTTATTAGGTAACTTGTTATGTGTCTGTGTAAAAGTTGTTACTGTATTGGCTGTGTTGCCATAAAGTAAGATTTGTGCTGCGATTTTTTTTTTATCTCTTATTTTAGAAGATATTGAGTCAAAAGGATTTTACTATGTTATGAGAGATTTCCTTCCAATAAGCACACAATATTCTCCTTCCATTTCAAATGCACTTTGATTTTTCAGCAGAAGATGGTTTTCCTAAGTGACCAAAAAACCCCCAACCCTTTATGATTTCTGTTTGTATCTTCTCATGAATTATTTATTGTTCCAGAAACAAAAGCACATCAAGGATGAGCTGTTTTGGTGGGTTTTTTTGTTTTTTAATTATCATCTGTTACAACAAGTTAGAGTTCTCCTGTAAAGTGCTTGGACTTGTCACAACGAATGAAGAACCAAGCTATCTTTAGTTCTTTGAAAATATGTATGCTGTATTTTTGTTACGTATACATCTATGCTTTTCCTGTAAAAAGTACAATAAATTAAAACCATTCAGCATTTTTTGTATTTGAAATAAAGCCAGAGTACAATTTTGTGCTGTGGCCTTGGCAGCAGATGGAATGCAGTGTGCTTACCCAAAGCCTTTGTTATATGCAAGTCTCTTGGCAACACTTAAAGATTTGGCAAGATAGAGCAATTTGAAATATCACCGGATGTACTGGAATGTATATTTACTCCATATATCTACAGTAATATGAATATGATGCACCTTAAATAGCCTTTAATCAGCCAGTATGCTGCTTCTAGCTGCTGAGCAAAGCAGTGGTGATAAAAATGTTTTCAGCCTGTAGTTGAAGATGTATGGTAATGGCAGCCAACTCTCAGAATCTATTTCCTTAAATTTTCTGGGAACACATTGCACATATTGTCCCATTATGCTTCAGCAGTAAAAAGATGAGTCCATACACTAGGTGCTTCTCCTTTGTGGAGGCGGCAACTTTTAGGCATAAAATTGAATTAATTGGACAGCACATCTTTCACGTTGCTGTTAACCTGCCCAGTGAAGAAAGCACAGATTTACTTATTGAACCAAAATACTAAAATTTGCAGTGGAAAAAAATACAACTTTGCGGGGCTTCTGACTACTACATGCTTTCAAGTGCCAATCCACTGTTGATTTTTAGGCTTGAACGGTTGTATGAAAAGAGGAGGTTATCTTGCAACACCACTAGATTTGCCAAATATTTGAGTCTCAGTATGTTTCTCATGTGACTGAGTTAGAATCATATAATTTTGACTGGAAGGGACGTCCAGACGTCATGTAGTCAAACCCCTGACCCAAACCAGGGCCACCTCCAGTTCACTCTTGAACATGTCTACAGATAGAGATTCTAAAACTTTCCAGACAGAGTCTTCCAGTGTTTGACCACCCTTATGGTAATAAAAAAAAAAAAAAAATAGTTTTGTTTTATCTAATTGGAATTTCCTATATGCCAGCTTTGCATCCGTTATGTCTCATACTGCTTCTCAGACCTGCGAGAAGAATCTGTCTCTCTCTTCTCTATGTCATCTGATCACGTACTTGTAGATAGCAATAAGGTCTCACCTTCATTTTCTCTTCTGAAAGCTGAAGAGATACAGTTCTTTCAGCTGCTCCTTGTATGTCTTATACTCCAGCCTCCAACCATCTTGGTGGCTCTCTGCTGGACTTACTAAAGCATGTCCACATCTTTCTTGTAATGGAGAGCGCCAACCTGAACACATGCTCCAGATGTGGTCTTGCAAGTGCTAAACAGAGAAGGATTACTTCACTGGACCTGCTGACTGTACTTCTACTTAATACAGCTCAGGATGAGGTTGGTCATCTTTGCTGTGAGGGTACTCTGATGGCTTTTATTCAATTTGCTGTCTACCAGGCCCACCAGATTCATTTCTGTAGAGCTGTTTCCTAGACAGTTGCTCCCCAGCCTGATAATCCCAGCATGGGATTATCCCATCCCAGATACAAGACTTTGCATTTACTCTTGTTGAACTTCATGAGATTCCTGCAGTGCAATCCTGTTCAACATCTTCATTAATGACCTGGATGATGAGGCAGAGTGCACCCTCAGCAAGTTTGCAGATGACACAAAACTGGGAGGAGTGGCTGCTATGCCAGAGGGTCATGCTACTGCCCAGAGGGACCTCAGCAGGCTGGAGAAGTGGTCAGGTAGGAAACTCATGCAGTTCAACAAGGGGAAGTGCAAAACTTCAGCTGGAGAGGAACAACCCCAGGCACAGTACATACTGGGGGCCACCCAGCTGGAAAGCAGCTTGGCAGAAAAGCACCTGAGGGTCCTGGTGGACACCAGATTGATTGAACATGAGCCAGCAATGTGCCCATGTGGCAAAGAAGGCTAATGATATCCTGGGTTGTGTTAGGAGTGTTGCCAGTAAGTTGAAGGAGGTGATCCTTCCTCTCTACTGGTGAAGCCACACTGTGAGTCCTATGTCGAGTTCGCAGAGAGCCAGGGACATACCAGAGAGAGTCCAGTGAAGGGCCACAAAGATGACTAATTGGAGCATCTTTCCTATGGGGAAAGGTTGAGAGAGCTGGGACTGTCTAGCCTGGAGAAGAGAAGACTCAGCGGGAGGATCTCAATGTATATAAATACCTGAAGGTGGAAAGAGGATGGAGCCAGGATCTTTTCAGTGGTGCTGAGTGACAGGACAAGAAGCAATGGGCCCAAACCAAAGCAGGAGATGTTCCCTCTGAACATTAGGAAATTTTTTTTTACTGTAACTGTGACTGAATACTGGCACAGATTTCACAGAGAGATTGTAGAGTCTCCGTCCATGGAGATGCTGCCTGGTCATGGTCTCGGGCAGCTGGCCCTGCTTGAGCAGGGAGGTTGGACCAGATGATCTCCAGAGATACATTCCAATCTCAACTATTCTGAAAATCCTGCTAGTCCATTTCTCTGTCCTGTCCAGGTCCCTCTGAATAGCAGCTCTCCCCTCCAGTGTATTGACCACTCCCTCCTCTTAGATGCTATCTGTAAAGTTTTTGAAAGTGCATTCAGTTCTATCATCCAGAACATTAATGAAGACACTAAATAGTATGGGTTCCAAACTGACCAATGCATCCAGGAACACTAATAGTATGGGTATGAGAATGCTGGAAATGCTGCTTATGCCAGGTTAAAGCAATGCTAAAACTTGCACTATGCAGTCATATGCTCCCTAAATTTCCAGACATCTGGTTCCCTTGTTCACTCCTATCCAAGTATTTCTTCTCCTGAAACAAGAAGTCCTGAAAAAGGATTTGTCCAGAACCCTAGGGTTTGTAGTTTCCTTGACCTGAGAAGATGAAGGCACTTTCTGCATCAGTCTTTCTTGGCTTCAGAGTAGTCCTCAGCTGTGCTGAGGAACACTTTGAAAGGAGCATGTTGTTTGGTTTTGAATATGGACATATTGGGAAGCTCTTAAGTCACCCAAAGTTGAGTGACTCAGTCTTGACGTAAGAAATTTCTTGTCCCCTGAGAGACCCTTACAGAGACTGACTTCATGCTTCACATGAGAAGATGGTGGAACCAAAAATCTGACTGACAGGTTTTCTTTTTCAGTAGAGCCTGTGTTGTGTTTTGTGCGTATAAGTAATAAAAAGCTTAGCACAAAGGAAAGGCCTTTTCCCCAGGTTATTGTTCTCACATGCCTCAGACAGCAAGTATGTGCATTCAGATGGAAGCCTACCACACTGAGGTAATTTTATCTTCAGGTCATTTGCATTGAAACTGAACAGGCAACTTTCCCTAAAACACAGCACGGTATAGAAATCCTATGTAAAATTTGCTCTCTAAAATATCTAAACTTGCATGCAAGCAAGTAAATATGCTCTATTTGGATTGTGCAGGTGTATCTTTTTAAACTTCTGCAAGAAATACGCTCTGGAACAAAAGTATCTATATTAGAAGCAGGTTTGGGAAAATAAACATGTTTGAATTACAGCATAAAGTTAGCAGCAAATTGTTCTCTGAATATTTGGTGAGCGAACTCAGCTTTTCTAACAAGTACTTAGATATCAACAGTCCTAAGAGTACACACCGCAAGTGGGATTATGGAAAAAATAACTTGTGAGGAATATGTCAGTTGGCTTGTTTTTTTAAGTAACAGGCTCAACTACTCTTCACTGAGAACCATGTTGAAACATCTGTTTGAAAGGAGTTTACTGGAATGTCCCCATTTTAAATGCTAAAAACTGTTTTACAGAGAAAGGTGTCTAAAAGCAGTTTGCTCAGATACTGAATTATATTAACCTTAGATTAAGTAGGGAAAACTTCAGTAGGTAGTATTTGAAAATATTATAACTAAAAAAAAACCCCAAAATTTAAGTGAACTGTTTTGCAAACTTCACTAGTGCTTAATAGCTCTCTGCTAACATAACAGCAGCCTGTAAAGGCATGGCACTTTATTTGTAGCATTATTACTGTTTTCTGGAGGCTGTGCCAGCTGAGCTATAAGGTCACGCAGGCTTAGAATATATATCGTATAGATATGTCATAGTTTGGGAGGGTTTTTCATTACAATCATGGGTAAATTTTGCATTATTTTATATACTACAAGAGTAGACTGTCCTGTTGACTTGTTCTTCTAAATTGTTCAGGAATCTGAAGCTTTGTTCCTCAAGGCAATTAAAGCCAATCCAAATGCTGCCAGTTATCATGGTAATTTGGGTAAGAGCCTTTCTAACTCTTATCAGCTGTATTGTTTGTTTGCTTCATATTCATTGTGTTTAAAAAGAAAAAGCAATCTTTTGAGCCTTCTTCCTGCTGGGCAGATTTCTATTTTACTTCCTAGAAAAACTGCCAGCCAGAAGAACAGTGCACTAAACCAGAAAAGCTGTCACACGATATGACAGATCAAGAGGGCTGCACAATCCAGCCCAGAGGTAGCTGCACTTCAGTGTCTGCAAATTGGTTCATTTATACTATGCTTGTAACCCGCAATGAGCTCACCAGATAAGAGCTGCCATTTAAGGCTGCAATGTAATTCATTCCTTCATCATTCCCATGCCAGTTCTGCTCCCAGGCTTTGCTCCTGCTTTTGGCAACAGAACAAGCAGCTACTGTGCCACCAGCCAGAGAGCGAGCCTCACTGGAAACAAATGCTTTAATGTTGTTTTCCAAGTGATTGGCAAGATTGCATGTTATTCAACAATATTGCTAATGAAATTCCTCATTGATGTTCCAGCTGTGCTTTATCATCGCTGGGGAAATCTTGACTTAGCAAAGAAGCACTATGAAGTCTCTCTGAAGCTTGATCCTATGGCACCCGGGACCAAGGAAAACTATAACCTCTTGAGAAGAAAACTGGAGCAATTGCAAAAGAAAGGCGGTGCCTGATGTTTCTTTTCAGGTTGTCCGTGCACGCTGTTTACGAGTAATGTTACATGGGTACTTCTGACCATGTAAAGGATTCAGTCATTATTTCTCAAAAATAATAACAACACCAGCGCTGCACACTTGAATGTCCAATTATGCCCTTCTACAGATCCTAACATTTCAGCTGCACTTTGGGGGATCATTTTATTTTTACTCTTGAACTGCTTTTAAAGTCCCTTAGAACGTTTTTATAGGTATATGAAAGCAATGCAGATGGAATTTCACAGCTTTCGCTTGTAATTTGATAGCTTCATCTGACTTTTTAGTAGCAGGATGAATATCAGAAGGCAGTTTTATTTCTGAAAGTGATTCTTTAAAAAGTGCAATTTCCTGCTTAAATCCTGGTCTTTTCGAGTGCAAAGAATATCTGTCCACTTCAGTTTTATTACTGCCTTCTACTGCCAGTCCTGCAGAGCCGGTGGAAGAATGGATTCTTTCCAGCACATCAGTCTTACTCTAGTAATTCAAGTTACGCCCTTGTTCTTGTTTCTGGTTCCACCCTTCGAAGTGTCAGATTTGTACAGGAGTAAATGAGGACAAGGATTTGACCATAAACATTTGTCAGCCAACGTACTACTGTGATATGCTCACATGGAGAAAAACTCTTAGATTAAGACAGAGATTTTAGCAAGCAGCAAAGGGAAAAGAAGTGTGAGGTGACAGAGGAGTCAGCTAGAGTTTCTGCTCTTCCAGGCAGCCTCATCTAGCATAGACAAGTTTGGCAACACTTCAGAATTGCTTTAGCTCTTGCCGCAGGTCAGTGGTCTAAATACAGTATAGCATCTACAGGAGTTAATTCCTGTGTTCTCAGGCATTTCAGTTCTTTCTGGTTAAGGACATTACACCTTTCAGCTCCTATATTGTTGGTGAATAAGGAGAGAATTTCAGTGGAAAAAGTAACTAGGCTGAGCACCTGACCTTGGCTGCTGATGTATTAACTGGAAGGAACTCGTATTCACCTTTGTCTCCCGTGGCTCATGGGTTTGCTGAAGTGGCAGTTAAATAAGCATAGCTGTTAATGGATAAACTGATCACATCGATGTGGGATGATTCAGAGATGACATTGATACAATGTCACTTTTCAAAATGGGCTATGCTTTAATACGTGTTTAAACTCTGGCTGTACAGAGCTGTTTGTCTTGTGCCAATATTTACATTCCTGGTTCAGGAAGTAGTCACATGCTTGTTTATTTGTTGGGTTTCTTTCTTTAAGGTTGGAAGATTGCTATTGGACGTGAAAGCTGAAGAACTTTACCCTTTCCCTCTGTCCACCCTCGTAGGAAAACATTATCAATGCGGTATTTGCAGCTTTCCTAATTTGTCCAATGATTATTATGTAGAGATTATGCAATATTATCCATACATAACTCACCTATGTGTGGAACTGTTTAAAGTGTAGGGAATGCCTGCTGTAGGACAAGATTTTTTGTGGCCTTGCCATCTGACCACCATGTAACCATTCTACATCTATACTATGTTTTGAACCTAGGCTACTTTTACATTATAAATTTGCTTGGAAATGACAGTTGTTCTTGAAAGTTGTTTCAAGAACCAAGTGTGCCTACAGAGCCAGTTGCAATACTGCAGAGCTACCAAAGCATCCTCTGACAGAGCTAGTTTGGGTACTACAAGTAGTGCAGCTACTTTAAAGTAGTATTCTTGCCAGACTGTAAATCTAGACAGCAAGGCTGCGGCAGTGTGGTGCTGTCCACAAATTTGGTTTTAATTAATTAATTAATACGGCTACATTACATAGGATGTTGCCATACTGATTTTAGTTGAGGTACCTGAGGCATGTATTTGTGCTAGGGCAGTGCTCGTCTCCTGCTAATACAGCCTGTTTCTCAGCAGGACTAATTAGTTCCTATAGGGTACTAAGTTGATGCACTTGTTTCCATTTCTTCTGGTTTCTGGACAAAATTTTCAGAAACTAGTTTCTGAATATATTTGCAGGATGCAAACATGCTCTTTGATAAGTATCTGTACTGATCCAGCAGAACGCTGCACCAGTATGGCTAGCCATCTTCTGGTAACCAGCATAGTCGAGTCAGTACCAACTTTATCTGAAACATGCTGAAGTAGACACACCCTTCAGTACAAACAGCAGACTTTTAAGACTTTCCATACGTATTTTTCATCATATATATAGAGAACAATTAGCTACTTCAGTCATGAGGTATTAAAGAGTTGGGATCTGGCTGGATGAGCTAGTTTATAGCAGAAGATAAATGTGTTTAATATAATCAGGTCTTTTCTGTATATTTGGAGTATGACAAGCTGAGTTTAAATTATTATTCTCATCATGAAGTTCACATGTATAGTTTTCCCTGTTGCCTGCCATATTAGCTCTACAGAAATTAGATCAATACAGAACTAGATCAATATTATGTATGAGGTATGAATTCTCTCTAGGTCATTATGAACCAAAGTTGTTGGAGGAATTCCTCTGTGGAAGTCAGTTTGTCCTTCTACTCAAGAGTCTTAGATGAAAGAGACATGCCAACAAATTGGATGCTTTGTTGGTATTTGAAAATGGTATTTACTCTTCAATATGAACAACATGGTTTCTTCTTGATTAGTTTTCTGTCTACCTGTATATATTTTTGTGAGGGTTTGTTTGGTTTATATTATTTTCAGTGCTACAGAAATTCAACATGATTACTTGTATGATTGTAATAATAAGGATACACTTCTGTCTGAGCATAATGTTGAGGCAGAATTGGGTTCAAAAGAAGTGACAAACAAGACTGCTTTTTTAATAAAAAATTCCTTAAGACTTTCAAGAATGCTAAATATTTTTTTACTTTATTTTCAGAAATATTTTGCAAGTCCAAATAATACAGTAAGTTTTATTAAAATGGTTATAATGTTAACCTTTTGCTTGGTTTTTTTATACCTCATAACTGACTCCTGGAACAGTGCAGAACAGCCAACCTGGAAGAGAAAAAGATGAAGTGGTTTTGTAGGTAACTGTTGTTACAAACAAACACTGTCTGTCTTTCCAGCGTGCTGGATTTTTTTCCCCATGTTACCTTTCTACCATTGCTAATTACAGATTAAAATTTCCTTCTCGTCAGCTGGCCTGCTTGATTCTGTAGTGAAATTAAGAAACCTGCATACATTTTTTTCAGATTGCTTGTTTAAAATACAGTTCTGAGGAGAGAAATACAGAATGATTCAATGCACAGAATGGAGTCAGAAAAATACTCACAGTGACTGCTATGGGTGAGAGTCTCTTTTCACCAAAAACTTCTAAGGGAGTTCCCTAGTTGTATAGTTGTATGTTTCTCATGTTTAGACCAATGCCATGTACATGAAGTTTCCTGTTATTTAATTTTATACTTAGCATTTAAACTTCAGAGATGTGGGTTGTGTGTGTCTTTATGAGCACTCATAAATAAAAATCTTCAATACTTTTTGAATGGTTTGTTAAAAATACTGGGCCTATTCACTGGGAACTTGTTTCCTTTGTATTTGAGATACTTGCACCTATTCATCCTAGTTTCTCTGCATAGTCACTGGGGGGAAAAAAAAAAAGAGGTAATCTGAAACATGATTCCTTTCCTAAAGAAAGCATCTTTAGGATGTGAGGTGTCATGTACTTGAAGCAGGTATTCCTCTTCACTAACTTCAAAGGGTAACTAAAGTGATCAGCTCATATATAATGAAGAAAATCTTGCTGCTGCTTTCAGTTGAAGTAACCTGGTCCCATACACCTCTAGCACTTGTACGTTACCTGCACCAAGAATATTAAAAGAGTGGCTTTGAAGCAAATTGGCAGGTGCTTGTCTGGAGAGAGAGTTATAGTAGCTGGATAGGGAAATGGGAGGAGACCAATTACAGAGGCTTTCTGCAGATAGTTACATGTATATGGCTGAATGTCAAAGCTCTGCCTATAGAAACAGAACATTTGGGTCTGGTTCGATCCATTGTTAGTTTGTCTATGATCACAGTAAATGATAACAACTTCCTGTTGTATTGACTTTTGGTGTCCTTCACTTTGTTTTCAAAGCAATCTAAAGCAACTGTAAATTTGCAAAGGTGAGATTTTTTTTTTCTTAAATTGAAGTTGCTACTTCAAGCTGTAGCTGTTAGAATGTTAAATGTGATAGCATAGCCCATTTCTATAGGGTGGGGTTTTATTTAGTTTAAATATCTTACTATTTATTTGTGGGTTTCTGCTTATGTTCCATGTTTCATGTGAGCATAGGTACATTTACATACCTATCACTACATGTAGATTCCCACGTGATTCTTGACTTGCCCCTTCACTGACTAGTGCTTCCTTCCAGAGCTCTTGATATGCCTCTACCAAATGTGTGTTTATGAGGGCATGTTTAACTCAAAAAGACTAAAATTTGCTAGAAAGAAAAGTGAGATCACATGTTTGAATTTCTGTGACTTAAACGCTGAGGGAGCCCCAATAAGCAACAGGCACCACTAGCGATGGCCGCTTCAGGCTGTGTGCTGGACTCCGCGGTGATGTGAAGCAGTTGCGCACAGGTGTAACGTTATAAACACAGCAACTTGGATCCTGTGCTTTAAAGAAAAAGGACTGTATAGCCACGCTCCAGAAGAGGACGTGTGTAGCTGGATGCGTTATCAAGCGCTGGTGAACTGGTTACCTTTGTATTGGAAAGTGGCACTGCAGTATTGCGGCATGGGCGTTCAGCATGGATCGGTGATGATACTTGTTGAGTGGTTCAGGGCTTTGTAAAACAAGGTTTTTTTGTTAGAAAAAAATCCCTATGGGTACTGAAATTGGTAGCTTGTGATTGCCAAGTTGAACCGTTTTTTAATGTAGTGTTAAGGATTTAGATTGCCAGTGGTATGTTCCAATTTATTTTCAGCTGAGCAAGAAGTAAATACATTTGTAATGGAACCATGTAATACATCTGAATTTTGCTATCTTTTTGCATAGATCTCAGTGGTGACAATGGTGTTTATTTTTGTAGTAAATT